GAAATCTTGCAAGCCGCACACGAGCATTAGAGACTGCACAGTAAAATCTGAACGTACAGCCACCACTCTGTTTTAAGTACTATACATGCTGGAGGCAGAATAGGTACACAGCTCGTTTTGAAAACCATGCCAGGAAACAATACAACATAACAATGCTAGGAAACAATGCAAATGAGCGGCATCAGTGCTAGAGCACTGCAGGAGGCTTGTCTCCTGAATTGCCTGTAGGCAAACTCTCCAACTTCTCTTTCTAATGCTTTCGCTTTTTAGCTTCAGATGGCAGAAACATTCTCTCTCCAATTAGAAATATTTTCAGTGGAGCAAGCTCTCCTTTGCTTCCACACAATACCTTTATGCACTATTAGTCCACCTACAAACACATCTAGCCTGTTCTCTATGGACAGCATCTGAACATTTCTACAATCTTAAATCAGATAGATTTACCATCCTCAATTGTGCAATTCAATCAAGTGCTCACCACTTACACCAGCCCCTTTCCTTATTCCTGTTCCAGAAGGAGAGCAGCAGTAGTTACTAAAAACAGATAATAAGTAGGCAAAATTTCACTGAACAGTTGAAAAGTTGGCTCTTCACATAGTCCAAAACCAGGGCCACAGGTCAGTGCAAGAACAAACACTGTCCACATAGGGTACACACAGACATAATGGATTCAAGTTATAAGAAAGGAGATTTTGACTGAACATTAAGAATATCAATGTCTGGAAAGCAGCTGGACCAGATGGAATTACAGGACGAATTTAGGACTGTGCCACAGAATTAGCTGGAGCATTTATGGATATTTTCAACCTGTCCTTGCTGCACTGCTCTGTCCCTACTTGTCTGAAGACATCCATCATAGTACCTGTCCCTAAGCAGACAGCAGTGGTATCTCTAAATGACTACAGACCAATAGCTTTAACATCCATTATTAATATTTTGAGAGACTGGTGTTGAATTATATTAAGGCTAGCCTCCCACCTACTTGGGATCCATGTCAATTTGCTTACAGGAGCAATAGATCAACTGATGATGCTGTATCCATTGCCGTTCACACTGTATTGAGTCATTTGGAGAAACAGGATACAAATAATGTAAGGCTATTACTTGTGGATTATAGTTCTGCTTTTAATACCGTTTTACCTAGTAGGTTGCTTATTAAAATATTTAGTTTGGGAATACATCAGAAGATCTGTCTGTGGGTAAAGGACTTTCTGACAGGCAGGCCACAGTCAGTAAGGATGGGATATTATTATTCTTCTACCTTGATACTAAATATAGGAGCTCCCCAGGGTTGTGTGTTAAGTCCCTTTCTCTATTCCCTGTACACACATGATTGCACCCCACTGTATAACACCAACACAATTATTAAATTTACGGATGATACGACAGTGGTGGGGCTTATAAATAAGAACAACGAGTCTGCTTATAGTAAAGTACTAGGGATGACACTATGGTGTAAAGAAAATGATCTTATACTTAACACCAAAAAAACTAAAGAATTTATAATTGACTTTAGGAGGAGGAGAAATGTATATTTACCACTATACTTAAATGGTGAAGAGGTGGAGAGGGTTAGTAGTTTTAAATTTTGGGGTATTTATATTTCAGAGGACCTCTCATGGTCTATACGTAAATGTTAATATGCTGGTGAAGAAGGCACAGATGTATTTCCTGAGAGTGCTCAGGAAAATAAATCAATCTCAGCATTTACTTCCGTCCTACTATCATAATAACATAGACTGAGTGTCCTAACATATGGCATCCTCTCATGGTATGGGAGTTGCTCTGAAATGGACAAAAAAGTTTTACAGAGAATTACTAACATTGCCCAAAATATCATTGGACACCAGCTTCCAACCTTGGACAACATCTTGGCATCTCAATGCTTGAGGAAGTCATTAAATATTCTCAGAGACTCATCCCACCCTGCTTATAACTTCTTTGAACTGTTGCCTTCCGGCAGAAGATACAGAGCAATTAAAACTCAATGACATGTTTTTTTAATAGTTTTTATCCTAGAGCTAGTATAATTGCACTTAAAAAGGAACTTAAGAATTGTTGTTGGACTGTATTCCTATTACTTGGTCTGTTGTGTTGTATGTTGTGTGGATATGAGCTTTTAGGAAGGGTTGTGGGATTTAGGGTTTGTTATGAGGGTGTGTGTGTGTTTTTGGTCTGGTCTCTGAGTGTTCTTTGTGAATTTTGTTGTATGTGTATATGGTGTATATACGTTCAATGACAATGAATTGAATTAAGAAGAACTTGTTAGTGAAAACCATTCAACAGTTAAATTAGCTGCATCAGAGGATGCTGATCTCTCGTTCACTAGAGAATTTAAAGCAGAGGTTGGATGGCCAGCTGTCAGGGATCTTTGAAAATGTGGACCTTCTGCATTGGCAAGGGGTTGGACCCAGGGCCCTCCTAGATCAACAAAAAGGTCCCAGATTCAAGGCTGGTATCTTCAAGTAAATCTAGAAAAATTCCTGCCAGCAACCATAGAGATGTTGCCAAATCATGCTGACAATACGGGCTAGAATCAACCAATAGCCCAACTGAGTTACAGCTTATCCAATCACTCTTCTTCTATGCTTAAATTCTGATTAAATAAAAATTGTGTGCTGTTAAGTCAGTTGTGACTTATGGCAACTTTTTTCAGGGTCTTCCAGGTAAAGAGTACTTAGAAGTGGCTTACTATGCCCTTCTCCTGGGGGCATCTTTGGACCATGCAATTTGCCCAAGGTCACACCGGATGGCTCTTCTCGGATGCACAATTGGGAACTGAACTCCCAACCGCTGGCTCCACATCCAGATACCTAATTCACTGAGCTACTGAGCCAGCTAAATACTGTCCAGGCCACTAAATTAAAAAAAAAAAAGAAATTAGCCAAAAAAAATGGCCAAGTAATAGAATAATCTTAATGTCATCTACCACTTGTTTTAATCTTCAAACACATTTTAAATAATGTGTGTGTGGTTTTTTTAGCACCGAGTACAAATATTAACATTAGTATTCCGGGGGGGGGCATGAGTTCAGTATTTATATAGACAAAGTGCTCCAAAGGTAACGGCTGCTGCAGAAGTCTGCTGAGGTGGCCGTCACTGGTGACCAAGCATGCATTGTCAGATTACCGTGGCTGCTTCCGCAGTTGGAGTTCTGCCTGTGTAAATATTGAAAAGAAGACCAGCAAATGTTCTCAGGACACACAGGCCAAGATTCTTGCTCTGTTCCTCTTGTGTCATGCAAGGCATCGAAAAACAGAGAGAAAATATTCCAAATTGGCAAAAAGATTTCCATTTTTCGCAGGATCTCATTGTCTGTTTTTCCAGCAAGTCTTTAACCTTTAGCAGAAGAGCAGAATGTAAAGCTTCATGCCAACCCACCACCTACAAAAAGCAGAACATAAAAGCTACAGATTTAAAATAATTTCTTGATTTCTACAAGTAGCAGTAACTAGGGCAAATGAGTATGAGCAAATATTACTACAAGTTCATCTAGCAGCAGGAGTTGTCTCCAGTACCAACTACTTGAAAGGCACATTAAAACCTGTATGGTTTCTACACAGGAAGTTCCCAAAGCCACTCTAAAAGGCATCTCTGGTTTTTCTAATTTGGCATTCCAACCTTTTACTAAAGAACATAAAAAAGTGAAAAGAAATACTGAAGAAAGAGAATTCTAGAATATACAAGGATTTCAGAGCTCAAAATTCTGACTTCTGGAAAACTTTCTAACTAAACTTATTTACTGGCATCTGCACAGTATTACTTTTATCCTGCACAAACGCCTAAATACTCCAGCAAAATCAACCTTTTTGCTTTTCTCTACCAAGCACAGATGTGAACATCTCTCTGTCTCAATTTCCGCGCATATCTCTTTGTTCCAGCGGCCTTTCCATCCCATTTGTCATTCAAATAAAGTTACACAATTTTGCCTTTTCCTCTCATATCGAAATCCATTCACATTTGACCTAAGTACATGTTTTTGCACACATTTTCCCCATGAACAAAAGAATACACATTTTTCAAGTATATCAATAGCAGTTTACATTTTTATATGCAAGTCTTTTGTGTGAATTTCGTGACTCCAAAATGCACCACAACCTTCACAAATGTATGAATTTCAGCAGCAAGGTGCTCTTTCTCATAACATCTGGGGAAGTATAAAATGGATGCTTTCATTATGAATCTTAGTTTCAGTGAAATTCTATCCAATTCCGATCCACAAGCATATCCCAAACCAACAGGAGTTTTAAAAGATTTGCTGTCCAGTTCATTTACAAAAGTGAAAAAGGTGAACCTTAATCTACACAAGATGGAGGCACAGCGGGTGGGGTAACACTCTGACCTGAGTAGAGATGCAAGCTGTTCTAGACAGGGCTGCACTCCCCCTGAAGCCCAAAGTTTGCAGTCTGAAAGTTGTTCTAAACAGTGCCCTTTCTGTGAAACCACAGGTTCCTAAGACTGCTTCCACCAACGTATGCCTAAATGCCAGCGACAGCTCTGGCCAGAGAAAGCCAAACAAGCCTTAGTTATATAAATGCACCAGTAATACCCAGACTAAATTACTCTAATACACAGGTGAACAGAGAGTATTTCTACATCTATGACTAAGTTTCTAGCTGATTTGGAATAGAACTATAAGGATTTCTGTTTCCTCAGTGTTTAAGAATAAAAGCAGCAAAATGATACACACCCAGACACCTTATAATACATGCTGGGAATGAAAAAGGCTTCAGGTAAAAAGAGTGGCTTTTACCTGGAAGGAGCTGTTGCACCTCTCTCCCAATGCTTTACATGTGACTAAGGGAGACCCACATCTAAAATAAAGGTCTGGCAATGTTGCATTTAGTTTGATCCCCATTCCTTTTGCAGGATTATTCAAATTTCCCGTATCCCGGCATCCAAACTGATTAGTTTTCCCACACATTCACGCAGCAAGCTGGCATTACCCAAATAATGCTTTAAAGCATGCAATATGTTGCCCCACGAAAAAAGTTACTCACTATGCAGCAGAATCATTCAGCTGATACTCTCGGGAACGATTAAAACAAGCCTGGACCCCATTATCTGCCCACAGCCTCCGAATCACATTGGACAAATCCTCTGGAAGGATTCCTTGCTCCTCTGCAGTGCAGGCAAGTGCAAACAACTGGCGGGCATCATCCTGCAGGGAGAGCAAAAGCAGGGGATTAGGCTGTGGAGTTAGCTATTCTCCTTGACTTACCTGTCTCACATCACACCAAAGTTCATGTTCTCCTGTTCCCTAAGGCCCCCTAAGCTTCACCCCAGGAGAAGTGTACTTAACCCAGTAAAATATTTCTTAGTTGCAAAGCAAAGCAGCCACCAGCTCTGGATATTTCAGCATCTCTGTAAGGAGTCTGAGCTTAAAGACTCTATTGACTTAACAGCATTAAACACAACAAGCATGGAGTAAACAAATTCATGGTCACAACAGGAATCCAATTATCTCAGGTTGTATAACTCTGGGGAGCAATGAGAAATAGAATAAATTTACTGATGACCTGACAGCCAGTGGGCTTAAGTAGGATCAATGGAAAAATAAAATTTATTCAAAATTACTTTATTTCCTTCACACAAGAACAAAGACGTGAAGAGCAAGAGAATCAGAAACAAGCCTAGAGCTAGCCAAGGGTTACTGCTTTTAATGTCTATTTTGCCCCAATTACCCACAGAGACGTTGTTATGTCAAACTGGCTTAAATGGGCTTTAATGTTATGATGACCAAATTTTCCCATGGCGTTCCAATTATCATCGGCAACTTAATGAAAGGACAGGAACACATGTGGTGGTCTCTTCCATTTTTTCAAAGTGGAGTGCATAACTGTCTACCTTTCTAGCTGAATAATCCCCTCTTAATTTTAAAAAATCAAATGGTTCATGAAAGTGGCCTAGCTTTTAATAGCATTACCCAATCTCTTTATATGACAAATACCATAAACCAAATGAATGATCAAAAGTGTATCAATGTGCAAGGAGGTTACTACAGAATCTGCATTCCTTCCTTTAACATGATGTTCATATGATGAAAAGTTCAATTTGTTTATTGTACTGTATATAACCATCAAATGGTGAGTATCAACTTCCTCATTCTTAAAATGTGCTGAAGAAAGACGTTTCCGTGTCAGAAAATTAGCGAGTTCTTACGTTTTGTAACAGTGATGAAAGCCTGGATTGTTATATTCTAGTTAACATTCAGGAAGCTCATTTCCACATTGTTTTCAATGATTCACATATATTAACTTTTACTTTTTCCTACATTTATCTTCCGATACTTCTGACCTGCTGTAAATATTCATTGCAATGAGAAATGAATTAACAACAACATGCCGTCAAATCAATTATTCTGACTTGCAACCCCTTTCTGGATTTTCCAAGAATAGAGAGTAGCGAGAAGTGGTTTGCCACTCCCTTCTTCTGGGGGCACTCTTGGATTGTGCAGCTTACCCACAGCTACACAGGCTGGCTCGTCTGTCTGGAGGCACAGCCAACCTCTAACTCTGTAGCCATATACCTACCTCACTGAGTTATCCTGCCAGCTGAGAAATGACCACAAATTGTGCCACTCAAGAAACCAAAGGGGACAGTGTGTTGGAGGGGAATATGGGAGAGGGAAAATGATCCCTGGCCTAACAGTTGAAGCAATTGTTTACAATTAGGAACCATCCCAACAGTGTTTTTGGCTGACAAGCCCTCACAGTGTCATCACTGTTTATATCTGGATTTTTCACAAGGTGGGGAGATTTTCAAATGCAAATGGTTGATCTATTCTTTTTTTTTTTTAAGTTCAGCCGAGTCTTGGACCTTTTTATAGACAGACTATTTTCAATCCCTGCCTTGTCAGTAGCCAGTCAATCATCACATACAAATGTTCAGCAGCTATGTAGCACTGTGCTTCTTCTCTTTAGCAACCTTAGGCCTCTCCTTCCCTCAAGTTCAGTACTGAACCTACTCCCTCCATCTGTTGGTCATGACCCCAATTCGTTGCTTGGGTTACAGGTTGGTTGCAAACTGCTATAACCCTTTTAAAACTGCAACATTACATCATGTGTGCACACTCCCCTTTCAGAGGATGTTTCATCACCTCCTTCCTCCATATTGTTTACAGCAAATTTCTTATTCCGACAATTCTGTAGGGAATCGCTTGGGAGAGCAGAAAGAAAATTCAAACAATGAACAGCTTTCTGCTTGCACAGACTGTAACTGATCTACATTTAAGGTCACCCCAAACAACAGAGCAACAGAACACGAGGCCCTGTAATGGTGAGGCAACATAATCTGAGAACCAGAGGCCCTCATACTTCGTTGGTTATCTATAATTTCTGGTTGCCCTAAATGACCAAGTCAGACATTGTAGTCACAGCATTCCTTCCCAGCTTTCAACCCTCTACTGCCACTTTCTGAGGAAAAGACCAAGTGAGAGTGAAGAGACCTCGGACTGGTGCTGCTGCCCAAAGCTACTCCATGTGTTCTTGGGAAGCACTGGCAACCATTTCTCCAACCATTTTAATCCCAGGAAACTAAAAGGCAGCAAAGGGAAAGAAAACATACAGTATTAGGCACCGCATTCCAACAGTGCATAGGAGACTTGTTCAGGCAATGGCATCCCTTATTTCTTCTGGTTCACATCTTTTCCTCCAAAACAAGGAAAGCAATGGGCTGTGGGTATCATTTTGGCTTTGTGTGGCTAAAACTTTTTATATACCTGTGCTGCACAGTGGTATATCACTCTCCACTGTTCCCACCCACCACCCCACAACAACTATGCAGCTCAGGAATCATCTGAAAAACCACCTGCCTTGCTGTTTCAAGGTTAAAAGGAAAACTGGATGCTCTATAGACTTGCCAGATGGTGGCACTGGTCGTACTGTGGCAATAGAAGTGACCTTAAAATCATAAAATCATGAAGCTGAAAGGGGCCTATAAGGCCAATGAGTTGAAGGAATATGTGCAGGAATATAAATGAAAGGTAATTGTCTAAATTTCTCTTGAATGCCTCCAGTGTTGGAGCACTCACCACCTCTCCGGGTAATTGGTTCCATTGTCCTACTGCTCTAACAGTTATGAAGTTTCTCCTGATAGTCAACTGAACTTTGGCTTCCTGTAATTTGAGCCCATTGTTGCGTGTCCTGCACTCAGGAATAATTGAAAACAGATCTTGCCCCTCCTCTGTATGACAGCCTTTCAAGTATTTGAACCTCAGCTAGAGTCAAGATTTAGTGGCCAAAATCCAACTTCTTAGTTACACACAAGTCTTAATTTTTGAAGATGAACTGCTTCGAGTGAAGGAAGCCCGAAAGATTTTGTATTCCAAATTGCAGAACCTGGTAAGCCACAGATAATGTCTATAAATGTGCAGTCCAGTCTGACAGGCTTATTATCTGAAATGTATGCTTACGTATATGAGACAGAGAGAGAGAGGAGAATATGTGAGGTACATGGGGAGAAATTTCAAGCATGCAACATTTTGTTTATATCCCAGCTTTCTTTCACGGAACTCAATATACCAGGCATAAAGCTCTCAGGAACACATCTTTCAACCTGTCCAACTTAACTGAGATTTCTCTGTCATTTGCTTTCAGCCCATGCCCTGGCATGTGGGGAGAGAAACCACCACTTACACATTTTGTCCACTTCACTTGGCTTCTGGCTAGGCACAAATCTACCATTATATGCACACTTCCATCAAGGTAGCTAAGTTCTAGACCTTGCACAAAAAGTCATTCTGCAACAGTAATGGGACAATTCATTTTTGCACAATGAGATTCTCTTGAAAAATTATTTTTCAGAAAGGGATAAAGAGCATGAAACTTCTCACGACTTGGTGGAATGTGACAAAAACAAGTACATTTTGTTGATTTTGGAGGAAAACAAATATTCAGTATTTCAAGAAGGAATAACTGGGGTGCCAGGTAGAATATCTGCATTGTTAGTTCACAACAAGGAGGCAGCAAAATAAACTCACCGCTCTGGCAGCGTCCCCAAAATCAATTTGCAGGTTACCCATTGCTTTGATGATGGCCATAATGGATTGAATGGTGTTGCTATAAACCACTGCTTTGTACTGCCTGCACTCCTCTTCTGAGTATCCATCCTCATGGATGATCCTGGAAAGGACAACACCAAATGTCAGCATTTTGAAAGCAGTCTGCCATAGATTTCACTCCATTCTTTCACACAAAAATATATGTATTAAATTAAGTCATGTGAAAGCATGAATTATGTTCTGTTTTCTTCCAATCTGCCACTGCTTGATCTTAAGGAAAAGATATTAGTTAGACACACCCTTGACTACAGACAAAGATAAAGGAAGATCTTCCAGCATAATTCAGGATTCTTTCTGTATACACCTTCTTCTTCTTCTTCTATAACAGATGTTGGACTCAATTCATTTCAGAATTCTGCTTGACTTTGATTTCCAGAAGTCTACAAGGTATTCCAGAAGTCTACAAGATGAATTCTAATTACCAATTTTCCTTATTATATTTGGTAATAATAATTCAACAGATTTCAAAGGGAGTGTTCCATGGCTTATTGTGTAATAAAACCAAAACAACTTATTACTACTGTAGTGTCAAAGAAGCTGCTCTATTTAGTTAAGAGCAAGAGATTCAAAGAAGATTTCTTTGAAATCTCCATCCTAGGAAATTCTGGCATGTCTGCCTCACCCTCAGCCCCATTGTCTTCCCATTGCTGCTAAGATGACAGCCTTCATCCATCCTTTGCTACTCTATTTTGCTTGTCAGAGACCACTATTCTTTTCCAAATCTGGTATTTTGATGTTTTCTCTTCCAGTGTGTGTCCTGGCAACCTCATGTTCACTGTACAAAGACTCATGTTGTTTTTCACTGGAGTCTGAGAAGCAGATACATTCACTAGATTAACAGCAGCAGCAACAACAATCAATATTAATATTAATAATAAATGATAATATTTAATGATAATAATTAAAAATGCAGCAGAACAGCTAAATTCCCTCTCAAGTAAAAAAACGAGCTGTGGCAATTGCATGCGCACAGGCTAAGAGCTCAGAATACTGAGAAGTCTCAGCAGGGCGAAATCAAGTTTTTGCTTCCTGAGGCTATTTTCCTAAGTAGAGAGAGGAAATCGAAGAGCGCCCTGCTTTGGCCCGCATTGTTACTAAGAAGGTTCTGAAAGGTTGAGAAATACACCATCTGTTTTGTCAATGTAGCCAGAGGCAGGAATTCAATCATCCACTGGCAGGAAAAGGGAAAGTTTCTTCCCAGCTACATTATTTAGCCCAGAATCTACCCAATTAGAAGGGGCCAGCCCACAGCTGGAATAGTCAGCCCTAGAATACTGCTACAGCAAACGTTCTATACATGTTCCAAAGCAGTAAGATCCAGTAAAATAGCAAGACAACCTTTCAGTTTAACTTAGCCTACACTGAACACAATTCAGCTGTGGGAACATAACAGCAATATTTTGTTTTTCTTATGCAGCCACTGACAAGACCCTAATAGAAGTAGACATTATAAACTAACATATCAGGTAACTGTTTATCTTTTTAAAATTCCAGTTACTCCTAAAAATCTTGAAAAATTTACTGTGCTGGCATTACACACATGAATAAACCACACACACGTTTTTATTTAAATGGGGACTTCTCTTGATGGATAGCTCAGTGGCTTAGGTATGTGGCTGTGGAGCCAGAGGTTGGAAGTTCGATTTACCAGGGTGCCTTTTGTGAGAAGAACCACCATGTGTGGCCTTCGGCGAGGTGCACACTTCTGAGTATTCTCTACTTGGGAAATCTTGAAAAGGGTTGCTATAAGTCAGAAGTGACTTGACAGCACATGATGAGGATGATGGTGGTCTCTTGCTAATCTACACGGACATGACAGCTGAAAGAAACACTGTTTCTATACTATATAATGTAACAGAGGAAGTTTTAAAATTATGCCGAAGAACAGCCAAATACTAACATTCTTTTCTTTAATTCTTGGTACTATAGACCTAGATTTAGAGTAGATCGCAGATTTCAAAGTCCCGTATATTGGGTGAACTCCAGTTTCTAAAATTCACACCCATTTGATGAAAAGCCTCTGCCCCAGTGTGCATCTTCTGTTTCTTGAGAATGCTCTAAAAACTGCAACCACTGCGCACAGTTTTCGTATGTGTCAAGTTGGGCAAGGAACTGAATAAGGAATATTAAATCAGTCAAGGAGGTGGCAAGGTACAGATTCAGTTAAGCCTCCAGTGATCAAAAGCTCTCGTCACCTGAGCTAATAAGCAGCCTCCCTGGATGATAATTCTGACCTATATGAAGATTAATTTTGTTTCTTCCTCTGTTGTGCGATGTATGCCGTTATTACTATCTACTTTTTTGATATCACCACGGTCATGTTATTATGTGCTGTCAAATCAGAACTGACTCATAGCGACCCTAATGTTTGCTTGTTTGTTTGATTTATATACTGCCTATTTAGCAAATTGCTACTCTGGGTGGTGTACCACAAAGAATATAAACATAAAATGTGATCTACTATAAAACACGAAACTGTCCCACCAATAAAGAAACAAAACAAAACAGGCAGCAAAATAACAGTTTTGGAGAATACAATATTATTCTCCTCCTTTCTCCACTGTCCTGGTTATTTGGCAAGAGCCTCTCCAAAAGCTTTTCTAAACAGCTCTATTTTAATTAGCTTTTTAAAGGCACAAAGGGAGAGCACCTGCCATAACTCCTATAGGAGAGCATTCAAGGTAAGTAAGATATTTAAGGAGTGGTTCTATCAGTTCCACATCCCCAGGGAGTTTCCATGGCAGAAAGAGAGTTTACCTACCTGTAACCATGGTTCTTCAAGTGGTCCTCTGTATGCTTGTGCAGGACCTCTTGGAAATTTCCAGAGCTTAAAGATATGTAATTAGTGGGACGTTCCCTCGTGGGGCACATGCTCTGCCCGCCAAAGATCTCTTCCGTTCCCATAAGTCCACCGTTATCAGATATAAATTGTGATGACAAGTGATGGGCAGAGGGGAGGATGAGCGGGATGTGTGGATTCACAGAAGACCACTCGAAGAACCATGGTCACAAGTAAGTAGCCTCTCTTTCTTCTTCGTGGCCTCTGTGAATGCACACTAATGGGTGACTAGCAAGCTCACTTACCGGTTGGTAGGATGTCACTGAAGTGAGGAGGTTAGGACAGCTCGTCCAAAGGCTGCATCACTCTTTGCTCAAACGTCCACACGGTAATGGGAAATAAAGGTTGTTGGAGTAGACCAAGTGGCAGTATGACATTTATGTGAAATGCCGCGTTGAAAGGCAGCTGATATTGAGACAGCTCTAGTAGAGTGTGCTCTAAGGGCTTCTGGGGCTGATTTGCCCGATAGTTCATAAGCCAAGGAAATTGGCTGTACAATCCACTTGGATAGAGTTTGTGAGGACGCAGGTGAGCCTTTATGAGGGCCATGAAAACAGATAAAGAGTCTTGGTGATTTTCTGAAAGATTTTGTTCTGTTGATATAGAAAGCCAGGGATCGTCGGAAGTTCGAGAACATGGAGCACATGTTCAATATTCATCTGGGGAGATGAAAATAGTGCAAGTAGAATCAATGGTTGGTTAATGTGGAAATCATATACGATTTTAGGGAGAAGGAAACATCAGGGTATAGGGTGACCTTGTTTGGATGAAACTGCATACTGTATAAGGACGATCTGATCTGATGACTGAGAGTTCGCTAGCTATCCTAGCTCATGTTATTGCGAATAGAAAGAGGGTTTTTAGAGAGAGGAGCTTTGGGTTGGTTGTGGCCATGGGTTCAAACAGAGGTTTGGTGAGTGCATTTAGGAGAACTTGCAGATACCACTATGGGAGAATGGGTCGCTGAGGGGGTCGTGTGTTGTGAATACCCTTGGGGAGCTTTTTGAGCATCGGGTGCGAGAACAGGTGAGCTGATTCAGAATTTGGAGGCTGGTGTGCAACAATCACAGAAATATAGACTTTTAGTGTGGAGTGGGATAAACCACGTTGAGAAAGATGTAAAAGAAAGGTGAGGAGGGTCTTCAAAGAAACTGGTACTGATATTAAGCTTTTGGAGATGGCAAAGGAAGAGAATGATTTCCATTTTTGATTATAGAGAATCTGAGTTGAAGGCTTCCTGGCTTTATTGAGTAAGTATGAGAGACCTTAGATCCGGATGGTGGATTGTCCCTTTGTCTTGAGTCAGTAAGTGAGGGATGGTTGGGAGGTGAAGATGGTCGGAGTAGATTTTCCTGAGTTGGGTGAACCGTGGTTGTTGGGTTGTCCTGAGTTGGGTGAACCATGGTTATTGGAGTGATTAGAATGGCATTGGCGTGGGACTGATGGAATCTTATGGTGGTCCGCTGAATGAGTGGGATTGGAGTGAAGAGATATAGTATGCTCTGAGCCCAGTCGATCATAAAGGCATCTCCAAGTGAATGAGTGTCAGTTCCTGCTCTGGAGCAGTATAGGTGGCACTTTGAGTTGTGGGAAGTAGCAAAAACGTCTATTGCTGGGGTTTCCCATTGGTTGCATAGCTGGTTGTAGACGGTGTCATCTAGAGACCATTCGTACATGGATGTGATCATCCTGCTGAGGTGATCTGCTACTGAGTTGTCTTGTGTTGCTACATGAACTACCACGGGAAAAACATCGTGGGAGTAGCACCACTCCCAAAGTCTTACTGCCAAATACAGGAGGGGGAGAAAATGTGTACCCCCAATTTGTTGATGTAAAAAAGTGCATTTCATGTTGTCCGTGGCCAGTTGAATTGCCTGTCCAGAGATTAGTGGTCGGAATGCTCGAAAGGCTTTGATTATCACTAAAAGCTCTAAATGATTTATGTGCAGTAGCTTTTCTTTTGAATTTCACAGGGCGTGAATATTGCAACCCTGACAATGTGCTCCCCATCTTGAAGGGCTGGCATCTGTTGTGACCTGAGTTCTTAGCTGAAGCGGAGCAAATGGTCGGCCGACGAGGAGGTTCGGGCGTTAAGTCCACCACGTAAGTGATGGGTGAGTTCTTCTGACACAACTAGGAGTTTAGAAGGGTGCTCCATCCAGAACTGCAGCCTGCCAGCCAGCCCACCTGTCTGTCGGCTAAGGAAACTCCTGGGCGGCTTCCTCGGGCTCTTGCTCTGCTTGGCGGAAAATCTGATGCGGCCCAGCCTCACCCAGACTCTGTCTCTAGCAGCCCCCAGGTAAATTGAGTTTAAAACCCCTGATTTAGAGACATCCTTCAGCTTGGAGGACATTGACGCTGAGGTTGGCTTCAATCTCGAGGGCTTCGGTTGTTCTTTGGGTCTCGGAGATATGGTTGCCGGGCTCAGGATCAAGCTTTGTTCCCGTCTGGGAACCGGAGGGGAATCTGGTTCCATCATGGGAGCCAGAGTGTGGAGAGATTTCTCCCAAATGTGAGATCTTAATCTTTGTAATCTTAATGTGAGGGCTGGTTTTGTAAGCTTTTTGCACTGATGTTGTTCTTGGAGGCAGAAGAGGCAATGATTGTGGCCATCGGAGAGCGGGATCTTGTTTGTGCAAAGCACACACTGCTTAAATGGCCCTTGGGAGGCATAAAAGAAGCAGGAAGAAGGGGAAGAGAAGGGGGGAAGGGAGTTGGAAGGAGGCAAAAACTCGGGAGAGTATACAAGGAAAATAAACTCACAAGGGAACGTCAAAATAAAGAAGAACTGGCCGTAAGGCAATGATAGATGATTTCAAAAATCGAAAGTACAGCACTAGCTGGTTGAAAAGTCTGACTGAGCAGCAGCTAAAAGAAAGTGAAGAGGTCTTTCGTGGGCGGAGCATGTGCTCCATGAGGGAAAGTTCCACTAATTACATATCTTTAAGCTCTAGAGGTTTCCGGGAAGTCCTGCGCAGGCGCAGTATAACCCAATTGTGTGCATTCACAGAGGCCACAAAGAAGAGCCAGGGAATCAAACTCAGGTCTCCTGAGTCCTGGCCCATTACGGTATCCATTATACCACACTGGGTACCCATCACTTTCCATACTTATTTCTTATTTATTTAATTTGGGATTTAAAGAAATATCAAAATGCATGTTGCTTCTGAACTTCCAGATTATTACAGTTTCACCATACATATTTCTATATATTCTTTCCAGTATGGCTGTTGAGGAGGGTGAGCCTCACCACTTCCAGCCATGTCCCTGGAGGGCTCCTTCCTCCATCCCTGGATCCACAGATGACTATGAAGGTGATCAGTACAGATGGGTTTTATTACAATGAGGGACAGAAACAAACCACTACTTCTTGCCTTTGGAACTGGTCCCTTCAGTTCCCTCGGGTCTGAGTCCAAGTCCAGAGACCCTTCAGTTGGCATCATTAGGTGGGTCTCAAGTCCTTTTTCCCCTAGTGGGGGTTCCTTGCATCCGCCAGTGCCATGGGGCCACAACAAGGAGGGTCTGTATGCCTGCACCAAGGGCAATGGTGACAGTCCGTTTTCCTCCTTCCTTGTTGACCCTCAGAGAGCTGATGCTGATGGCTCTGGTCGCAGCTCTCTCCCTTCAGTGTCACAGCTGGGTGCCAGTTGGCTCTCTTGGCCCAGGTTCATTTGAACAGTGTTGCTCTAGCTGGTGCTTTCATTTATTTATTTTTTTTATTTATTTGACTTTTATGCAGCCCACACCCTGCAAGAGTCTCCAGGCGGCTTCTAACATCAATTAAAACAGTTCAGTTAAAAACAGACACTAAAACCCAATATGGCCACATCCATTCTACTCAAAAAAATAAAAAATAAAAAAATTTAAAATCCATGACTTATTAATTAAAATTAAAACCTTCAATTAAAAACTTCTGGAACATGGAACCCAATAATGGGATCAGGGAGGCGGTCAAGATTGGAGGTGCTTCTCTGCTTCCCACTTTAGCAGCCAAAGTTGCACCAGGACCCAGGCTCTGGGTCTTCCTTATAAATCCATTCCTAGTCTCCTGGAAATCTGTGTTCCTTGGGGGGGGGCGGTCTTCCTCAGCATAGAACGCCTTGTCTGGCTGCTCCACAGGGGTGCCTCTTTTGCTGTCATCATCCTCACAATGAGTTTGTGTTACATATCCTAGATTACACACCACCCAAACTATGACCTAGTTATACATAGCAGCCAGTAGATTTTGTTCTGTCACCTCCTGATCTTACTTAGTAGAAAAAGTAAATGGTACAAAGGCAGAATGCTGGTTATTTAAGGACTGCCTAGATATGCCAGAAGGATTTTATGCAGCTACGTGGTGTTCTTCAAACAAAACGAGCACAAAAGAACCTGCCTCAGTGCTATTGCTGATCTAAAAAAAAAAGATGCAGTGTGCGCACACACAGTGAACACATGTGCTGAAACCATACAAGTAACTTGTTCAAATGAAGTCCTAAACTGAAGGAACATCCATCCAGTAACACATTTTGCATGGCTGCAAGAGGACAACTGAAACAAGGCACAACACTCAAGAAAATCTCAAGTACGGGATCTGCCCTGCAAATTACAAGAAAGGATTTAGGGGACAGAGCCTGAGGACCACAAAAACAAGAGCTTGCCGATTCTTCCTACTGTGGGAAAGGCACTGTCCTTTGGAAATCCTCATGGTGGCAGATGAGAGCACAGCCCTGGAGCAAGTCCATCGGCCACTTCCTCCAGCACTGAACTAGAGATGGCTAAGGATAAGAGTAGAAATCCTTTGTAGCGATGCCTATTCAAAGAGGAAAAAGCAGAACCCAGAAAGAAATAAGAGGTGGGCTGGGGTGGGGGGGCAGAGAAGATGGGGGAAAAAAGATTTCCCTCTTCTTCCTGAAGCAGTAAGTGGGAGTGAGAGGAACAGTGATAAAGAAAAAGCCATGCATTCTCAGGGCAACAGTAATTAAGGAAGAGATTTTAAGGCTGGCTACACAGGACACTGTTTTCCCGGTCTCTTAGCAGAGCTCCTCTCCATCCCACTTTTCTGTGCTGAAAAGGGGGTGGCGCAGGAAAGAAGAGTCCTAAAGACCAATTTGTTTTACCTTCTTGCTTTTGTCCTTGTCATCAATGTAACTTTTAAAAACTTTATTAATTTCCAAGAAACAAATTTGCATGGGCACTGCCTTCATATGGAGAGAGTTAGATGGATACACATGGGGTCACACATCCATGTATATTTTGGAGAAGAAACAATTACATGTGCAGCCCTACACATGTTAGGAAACATGATCTCTGGCCTGTAAAAGTCCCTTGGCAAATGCCTGCATGCTTCCTGTTAGAGAAAATGGTACATCCAAAAAATTAATCCCCCCTCCAAATTTACAATGACATAACATAAAAACCAATAAACCCAACATTAAAACTAATAATCCAATATATAAAATATCATCTGATATTCCAAGATACTACAAAATTAAAGCTCAGTGCTGTCTAAGGCAGAGAATCATCTGAGAGTTTCAACTTCATGGGGAAAAGTTTGGCAAGAGAAGCATGTTTGCAAAGGAATGACCAAAAAAATCCCCAGCGTATATTCAGCAATAATATTTTCCTCAGTGCCACAGCTCTTAATCGATACAGAACTGTTCCCTGCTTTGTACCATTTTATTCTCTCAAGCCGGCTTCTTAGATGATTTTTAAGACTGTGTCCTTGCTTTTTACTATTTTTAAAATATCTTTTTCTGCCTGATGTGGTTTAAAAGTGTTTTTAATTTGACCATTTTAACGTTCACCTGTTTGTACTGTAATACCCACTGTATTTACATTTGCCATCTGTTTTGCTTTACTTAAGCAAGTCACTTTGGGCCATAATATTTGGTAAAAGGGGTGATATAAATAAAATTAAGTAAAATATTCTTCTTCTGGAAGAAGAGGGAGGAGGAGGAGAAGGGAAAAAAAGGAGAAAAAGACCTCATAAAGTGAAATGTATTTCCTTTTAATGAAATTTTCCATGCAGTGGTATATAACCTCCCTCTATGTTCTGTGTATGTGATAAGCAACATCCATGTGTAAGCAAAAAAATGACAGCAAGTAAAATTTGTCAAGTACAATCCAAGTGTTTTCACTTTATGAATTCTTTGAAGCTGAAGAACACAGTACCCTACAACAGAAACATCAACAGTGACAGTAGATCTGTTAACATGGCATAGAAGGCAACCATAATATTTTAATCAAGAAGAAGAAAAAGATGCTTACTTCATCTGTTTGACAATTGTGCTCTTCCCAGACTCTCCTGCACCTGTGGGGGAAAAAAGAAAAAGAACCATGTGAGATGAGTGCTTCACTATTTAACACTGCTACTCAAAGAGGAGAGGCAAAATGTAGGGATGCAGCTGCCTGAATCATGATCCCCAAACCAAGAATGATAATGATACAGCCTCCCACTGAGAGAAATGGAGGAGAAAACCACCATTTCCTCCCTGCAGAAACATTTGTCTGGGTGAGAGATTTCCCCCTCCCCTTGCAAAATCTTGCAAGGAATTCTCAAAGGATCCTCTCACAAGTTTCATGGTCATTTTATCTGATTGAAAAAAGAAACTATACAGGAGTTGTGCAGAGATCACCTGTAAAGGGCAGAAGAAACACACTATGCTGTGCAGGATTCGCCGGGACGGGGATTAAGTTGTGCACAATTTGGTAGTTTCCTGCATAAAAACAGGTGAAAAACAAGGTAGGGGGAACAAGCCCAGGTCTTCTCTTTGGGGAAAGTTAGAAAATGTTGGTGATGGGGATGTGTGTGGGATCTCAGCAGGGAATCTCAACATGAAGAACTTGAAGAATTGCAGAAAGCAAGAAATTTTGCAAGAAGAGTGCTCATCCATACAGCAAAGACTTTTCCACTACATAGCTTTAGGAACCTAAAAATCTGGCCTATCTGCTTCACTGTAGCATCAAAAGCCAGTTGGAAAAAAAAGGCCTTGGGGCATGTATATATACTTTCATGGAATCAGAGTTAGAAATTGGGTTTTGTATTCCCTCATGCTCTCATTATCCATCTGCTCTTGAGCAATAACTTAAGGATAGGGTTCACCATTATCAGCCGAGATACAGCTCAAAATTCATTCTGGGAGCTACACTTAGCCACTAGAAATCCTAAAGCAGCCTTTCTTGATTTGTTGCATACACGTTACAATCATGTCTGCAATATGAAATGGACCAGAAGTGGAGAATTCCTTAAATATGAAATTTCAAAACTGAACAGTCCCTGTTATCACAGATCTGCTGACTCGTAATTATTCCAGTCTTAACCAAGAGCTTAAATCAATGTCGCTCCGAGTCAGTCCCTACCATAACTAAACACAGATTGTGACCAAGACTGATGAAAGACAAGGTTAGCAAAATGCTACTCAGCAAATCTCATCAGGACGCCTTCTTCCAACTACTACTATGCAGTGAGCAGGAAGAAAATAAAATCCTTTGAGAACCAGACAGAAAACTATCCATCTACCTGCCATGATCAAGCAGGAACACTCAAGAACAGATCTGCAGATGCCTGCCAGATTTCATTACCATGGCATCAATATCTCACAATCAACACTGCCAACGGCAGACCTGCCTCACATTCGGTGAGGCAGGCTGGCACGCAAGAGGCAAGCACTGCAGGCAATGATAAATAACAATATCACCTGAGTCAAGACAAGCCTCCTATTAAAAACAATCATGTGCACCACTTCCAGCATGAAGACAGCCCTACAGTTTCCCAGGAAAATGGAAATGGACAGCAGCACAGATTAACTTTCAGCAGACTCAGGCAGGTTTCATGCCAGCTGGCTTGAATCCATGTTTCTCAAGGGCCAGAAGATTTAAAGCAGAAGGGAAAGCAGAAGTAACAGTATGAATTGTAATTCTAGATTAAATGTGGATGACCAAGGAAGCACTGCACAGAGGCTTGTAAACAGCAATTCACCCAGGCCCTAGTGGCCCAGGAATCACCTCTAAGTAACCAGTGAGTAACGTTTTTCAGGCTAAAAAAGAGCTGGGCTGCGGTGTTTTGTTTTCAATTTTACCAGGCCAGCAGCTGGTAAAAAATAGCTTAACATGGTTATATGTGGATGGAATGGCTAGGAAAGATTTTTACAGGCTAGTAGTTTCTGGGGAGTCCCCTGGACTGCAAGGAGAACAAACCTATCCATTTTGAAGGAAATCAACCCTGAGTGCTCACTGGAAGGACAGATCCTGAAGCAGAGGCTCCAATACTTTGGCCATCTGATGAGAAGAGTAGACTCCCTGAAAAAGACCCTGATGTTGGGAAAGTGTGAAGGCAAGAGAAGGGGACGACACGACAGAAACGAGATGGCTGGACAGTGTCCTCAAAGCTACCAACATGAATTTGACCAAACTCCAGGAGGCAGTGGAAGACAGGAGGGCCTGGCATGCTCTAGTAGTCCATGGGGTCACAAAGAGTTGGAGATGACTTAACAACTAAACAACAACAACGTTTCTAGGGATTCATTGGCAGGTTACATTCAATAAGCATTTTAAGAAATAGTACTGCATTACAAAGGTATAAAAAAATTTCTCCCTTCCTCAATGAAAACAAGACAAGGAGTGCAAAAATCTATGCCTACTTCTGCCATCTGATGTTAGCTGGAATTCTATTTCTTTACCAGCCCTCTTCAGCAGCTGTTCGTTATACCTCAAAAGCAATATCTGCCTCCACAGTTTAGCTCCATTAGGAAGACAGACCTGCATACCTCAGAAGTCATTTTCCAGAATCAATACTGTTGAAATGCATTAAAAAAAAAACCAAAATCTAAAAACCAAACAAACAAACTTCACGTTTCCTTGTATCTACAAAGAGCATATAACACATCTGGGGACTGTCTGCCCATAAGTTAAATATTTAGAAATGTAATTTTAGCAACCCTATTTCTCATATAAAAGAGGGAAACGTCACAAATCTGCACATTGTTGTGAAGAAGGGAGAGTTCTCCTGGCGCAAGAGTTTTTAGCAAGCAACATTTAAGCCATGAGGATTTCATGATCCTTACTGCGTATTTGCTTTCCCTTTTCAAAAATGCCAAACTTTTGTGGAAATAAGCAGAAGAACAGAGACCTTAACTTCAATGGGGCTAGGCAATATCAGAGGTCAGATTAAGATAAGACTGTTTTTAGAATAAGTGCTCATAATTGTAAGATGATTTTAGGGACTAATAGACACAAAGCATACATAAGGCACTCCATTAATTCACTCTAAGGTCAAATAAAAACTCCAATCTGTTTTTTAAAAATACAGTACTTTGAATGCTGCATGATCGGCTGCAAAGGCTTCTTCATTTTATTTTCCCTCATGACTAGGGCAAAGTTTAGCATCCGGCTGTCTTTCCACTCCCTTCAAGGAAACCCATCTGCCTTTCAAGATGCACATTTAAGATCAATGGTTCCTAAGGTAAAAGCATTTGTCCCGTCTTCCCAGATGGTATCTTCCTTGAGCACAAGGTAACATGCTACCCCACTACCAACCACTGTTCCTTCCCTAAAATCTGTTTTAATAGTTACTGTACTAATCAAAGCCTATTAAGGTCATCAACGTGCTGTTTATGCTTGTTTTATGCAACTGGAGTAGCACGAGCTTAGCAAACTGCACTTCTTGGTCCCAGCCAGCACACAAGCCAAGTATTTTGACCAAAGGCAATGGAGTGCCTCCTGAGTGACTGGCAGCCCTTCATCTCCAAAGACATGGAAAGAGAACTGATCTTATATCCCCCAAGATAAAATCTGATTAAACTTTTTTTTCCATACGAAAAAGGTAAAATGCCAGTCTCGTAAGCCAACAGGAGTCGTGAATCACTGTTTAAACAAGCTGCATCCAGTCCCAGCATGTTATTCTCTCTCTCTCTCTCTCTCTCTCTCTCTCTCTCTGTGTGTGTGTGTGTGTGTGTGTGTGTGTGTGTGTGCGCGCGCGCGCGCACGCACGCACGCATGTTTTAACAAATCCCAAATGGACCCTGTGGCTTGCCCAATCCTAAAATATATAGCCTTGGAAGAAAAGAAGAATGTTGATGTAATAAATCAAGTGACAGTGATGAAAACCTTTGCAAGAACAGGGAGAAATATTATCATCTTGCTATGATCAGCAGAAACAAACACTCTGTAGAGTCTTTATTATTGTTATGGGATGAAGTTAGTACACAATGTCTTACTCTGTTCCTTCCCCTCACCCTACAGATTACTATTAACAACAGAAAGGTGCAATGAAACATACAGAAATGTATGTTTTTAAATTACACGCTAGGGTGAAATGACAAGCAAAGCTACTGGAGAGAAGGTGGCCCAATTATCCCTTGCTCTGCTCTGCGAAGCCTAAGCTGGGACAGCAGGCAGGGATTCTTCAATAACAGCCATGCTTTCTAGCACAGGGAAAGCAGCCATATATTATGCACAGATCATTAAGTCTCTGTAGGGGATGGACCTCCTGCCTCAGATCAGCCTTGCTATTAGCAGGAAGAATCCTCTTACGCTGCATCCTATTAACACATTCGCTAACATGTTCAGATCTACAACCTGGCATTTGCAAGAGGCACAGCTGTTATGAAGCTTCACAAGATCTCTCTCAATCCTACCCTCTCATGCATGGAAGTGATCCAGCTGGTCAAGTTGCAATTAATTACTCTCAAACATTCTGGTGACATTACATGGGAGGTCTGGTGACAAATCTCAGCTTCAATGGACTGGATGCCTCCATTACTTTATGGTTTTCATCCACCACACAACAGCAGCAATGAATCCACAAAGACTTTTCTTTGCATGTGAATTCTGAATCTCCAGCCGGCATTTGGGCAGAATGTCTGGGTTTCACAATTACAGCTCTGCTGTAATTCCAAGAGCAAGTCATGCTGCTTATTTTCAGTCACTTAACAATCACCAGCCAAAACGCCTAACTAATCACAAATCGGATTGTTAAAGACAATTCGTTCCAGCACCAACTAGCACATGCAGTGATAAGGGCCAGTGCACAACTACACTACGGCCATTGTTTCCTGGTGGGGTTAACATTCAGTCATGAAAATAGGCTTAGAGCTGAACGCTAAGCACATGAGATCTCAAACCCAAAAGAAAGCATTCAGGCATCTTAGGCAGGCACAGCTTGGCCCTAAAAGACAGAGACATAAGGAGAAGTGGGAAGTTTGTGCTTCAGTTTAACTCCTGATTTACTGAAACAAAATAGGGGTAGACAGATAGTGTGCAGGGAGAAAGGAAATGGCATGAATACAAGACAGCATTCCTCAAACTAATGCT